TTGAGGGAGAAAGGAATAGAAGGTGATGCTTGATGGCTTAGTTGAGGAAGAGCAGGAGGAGGCTCATGTGGAGCTAAAGACCAGTTGGGCTGAATGGCCGGTTTCTGTGCAATATATTCTAATGTATTCTAATGTATATTTAACACAATTTGCTTCCACCGTCTCCAAAGGGAACCCTCCATAAGTTACTACTCTCTCACTGAAGTAGTGAACAAATGTTTGAATAAGCGTTACATTTCTGTATTTGATGCAGAATCTGTAATGTTAGAAAGTTTCAAAGGTCTTCAACAGGTACTGACTGTGTTCGTGGACAAACACAGCAACCACTTTGCACACAGCCATATCATCTGAAAGAAATAAAAAGAGTTTTTTGTTAAAGCGCTGAATAAGGTGAAGGACAAAACAGAGATGAGGTTCAGGGCAGTTCTGAGATAAAGTGTGTCGGAGCTGCTGAAGGGAAAGGTTGAGAGTTTGCACGTGTCGGCACACGCTGGAGACAGTAGATATCATGAGTCGGCAAGAACAGTGATCAGAAGAGCGCTGAATTTTGATGATTGTGGGTGGATTAAAAGCAGGAAGGGTGGAATTTCAGAGGGAATCCATATGGAATTAGTTGCAGTTTAAGACAGTTACTGAGGAAAGAGATGTGGCTGTGAAAACAGGTTTTAATGAAAACATCATCAAACACAAGAAGGGAAACAGATAGCTAAGAAGGTGAGCAGGGTAAAAGGGAAGAAAGAAAGTCACGGTGTAGTGAAGAGCAGAACTTCTTCAAGGTAGGCATTCCTAGAAGACAATTAGTCTACAATTCATCTGGTTGATTGTCGCGCAGGAAGCCGGGAGGAACTCGCTTCTCTTTTCCATCAGTGTCGAGGGATCTTTAATGTCAGGCAAACAGGTCCTTGGTTTAACGTCTCATCTGAAGGACGGCACCTGGATGGTGAACACCACAACCCGCTGACCCACAGGCGAGAGTGCTACTGACTCACCAGACTGACACCTGATGAGTAATGGGTGCACAGAGGCAGCTGTGGGAGAAGACGAGGAGAGATATTGACAGATTATTATAATATATTTTGTGGGTGAAACGCGGCAGATAATTGCGCACATCAGTGTCCCACAAACAGTCGTGGATTGAGTGACCAAATGAAAAAAGAGAAATATTTTGAAGGGATTGTTACCCCAGAAAAGCGATGCACCAATCGACTAACAACCGGGTTCCTTGTTACTGCTGTGTAAACACCGGCGGTGGAGTAAGGAAACTTGACTACCGTTTGGGTCGGCCCGGAATCGAACCCGGGAACTGTTGCTTGCGACGAGTGCTGTCACCACTGAACTACAATACTCCATTACTGTCTCACAGGTTCGCCTGACTGCGGCCACATTAACATACACCACCGAGCCATACGTTCACAAGCATTTTATTCAGTCAATTTCAGAACAGAATATTTACTGTGGAGATCAGGTTCAGTAGGAAAAATAGTGAATAAGACAATCTGATTCAATGCCTTGGAATCAACGATGCAGTGGGTTTGGGGGGAGAGTGTGTGAGGGGGGAGAGTGTGTGAGGGGGGGCAGTGTCGGGGGCCAGCGAGGAGGGGCATTGAGGGGAGGCAGAGCTGTAGGGGGGGCAGTGAGGGGGCAGATAGTGAGGGGAGGGCAGTGAGGGGGCAGTGAGAGGGGGGCAGTGATGGGGGCAGTGAGGGGGAATGAAAGGGGAGCAATGGAAGGGAAGCAGTTGGGGCGGGGGGGGGCAGTAAGGGGGCCCAGTGAGGAGGGGCTGTGAGAGGGAACAATGACTGGAGCAGTGAGTCGGTTATTGAGTTGGGGCCAGTAAGGGGGGATCAGTGAGGGGGGATCAGTGAGGGGGGATCAGTGAGGGGGGATCAGTGAAGGGGGTAATGAGGGGTGGCAGTGAAGCGGAAGAACCTGCTGTTTAACACTTTGCAGGTGATCGCCGGGGCCAACAGAAAAGTGTGGACATATCTTCACATATTCTGAAATTGCAGAGACTTTGCTAAATTTTGCTGGGGAAAGTGCGGGGAAAGTGCGGGGTTGATTAGTGCTATTCAGATACAACAACAGTAACTTGCACTTATGTAGCACCATCCACGCCGGGTGGCATCTCAGAGCGCTTAACAATGGCAGAGTCCAAGGCCGAACCATGGGGAGGGAGAAGGTGACCATAGGATTGTCTTCAGGCGCGACCTGAAGGTGCGCAAGGAGGAGGCGAGGCAAAGGGGTTGAGGGAGGGACTTCCAAAGTTTTGGGGCGTAGTGGCTGAAGGCACGGCCGCCAATGGTGGAGAGGAGGATTCGGGGGACGCGGAGGAGGCTGGACCCAGTGGAGCGGAGGCAGCGGGTACTGCTGTGGGGAAAGAGGAGGTTAGAGAGATGGGGGGGGGGGAGGGGGAGGGATTTAAACACTAGAGTGAGGATCTTGAAGTGGATCTGCTCTGTGACAGGAGCCAGTGGGGTTTGGCCGGGACTGGAGTAATCGGGGGACAGCGTTTGGTACAAATACCCAGAGCCGCTAAGGCCATGTGGTGCCTCGGGGGGGGGGGGGAGGGGGGGGAACCCCTGTCTCTTGAGGGAATTCCCTCGATAGGGAAATCCCCGTCCACTGGCAGAGCATTTATTTCCGCTGACATCACCGCAGTCGCACATTACATTGGGAGGTCACAGAGGGTCGAGAAACCACGCGCACATTTACTCATTCACAGAAGCTGGATCGTTTTCTCCTGTTCGGGCTGAGCTACCCGGCAGGCACGAGCCTGCTTCACTTCCCCCATATTGCCTGCCCACATCCGCTAAGTTCTCCCAGTCACCCTGCGGGCACTCCGGGCTTCCCAAGCCTCGGCTCTTGCCAACCCGTGCTTAATAGTTTCCAGAATTAGGTGCAGCGTGTCTGCCTTCAGGGAGAGAGACAGAGACAGAGAGAGAGAGAGAGAGAGAGAGAGAGAGCGCATTCCATTCCAACAATCTGCGTCTCGGATTTCCATGGGTAGGTGGGATGCACGTAATTTTGTTTGGTTACTCTTAATATTCTTACGCATGGTGATGGGTTTCCACACGTGTCAGACACCCGGCTGACCAAAAGAAAATGCTGTTCATGGGATGTCCCTGGTGCAGATTAGATGCTGTGAGTTTGTCTCTGGGACAACATTGATGTCTTTTATCTTTTAAGCAGTCGGATTTTATTAAGCTAATTCAAGTGAAAGACAATGTGTAAATGCAAATTATTAGTCATATAGTAAGCCCCAATAATTACACTCCCAAACTTCCCCCAAAATAACCCTCCAAATTTTTGTGAATTTCTCCCCCACTCGTCTCCCCAGAGTTCGTGTTCTTTACAGTCAGTATCTGCAGAGAAGTATTGGGGGAAACCCGAATGTTACACACCTGCCTTCTGCCTGATGTGATGTCAAACCCAGATCCTGTCTGTGTCTTGTTTGGGCGGATGTTCAACACCTACAACACTATTGTTAAAATGTTGTTAAACATTTATTAAATTATTATTGTGCTGCGTTGCCGGAGGTGCTGTCCTTCAGATGAGAAGTTAAACTGAGTCTGCTCGTTCAGGTGGATGTTAACGATCCCGTGGCGCTATCCAACAGGAGAATGCAGTTTCTATCTCCCAGTGTCCTGGCCAACAAACCCCCACCCAAATAAAAAAAATTGGTCACTGTTGTGTCGTGTAACATTACTACGCGCAAATGGCTGCCACGTTTCAGCAACAACAACAACAAGATTGTATTTATAGAGCGCCTTTCACGTCGGGAGGACGTCCCAAGGTGCTGCACAGTTGGGTTGGGACCCGAGCAGAGGGGAGCTGGTCAGGGTGAGGGGAGGGAAGGGAGGGACGAGGAGGGGGTAGAGAGTCGAGAGGGGAGGTGAAGGCACAAAACGCACAGGCTATCCACTTTACAGTGTATCCGGTGAATCACTTGCGAGTCTCAACGATGTGATCAGATGCTATATCAAATGCGAGGATTATTATTATTAATAAAATAAAAAAGATGGGAGTTTCACCCGGGGTTCCTGGCTGACAATCCTTCGATAAAATTGGTCAGTCTCTCCAAGGCTGCGTGTGAGACGTTGCTGTGTACAAATCAGGGCTGCTTTTGCCCTGCAGTCACTACACTTGGTAGCTATTCCCTGCAATGCCTTTTGTGAGATTTCAATTTAAATCAAAGGAATTAAATTAAAGTGTTAAACTGCGCACCAAGAAATGTCAGCGTGTATTATGAACTCAATCAAGGTCCCAACATGGGGCCTTCAACTCACAGTCTCGGGAAACACCGCAATAGAGTGCTGGGGGAGTGCTACACTGTCAGTGGTGCCGTCCTTCGGATAAGTCGTTATAAATAATAATAATCCTTGCATCTTTCTTTTCGACCGCGCCTTTGGTCACCTTCCCCCCCCCCCTCCCCCCGGCTCGGCCCCGGTATCCTAAACTGTAAAGCGCTCTGAGACGCCGTCCGGCGCGGACGCGGAGGGCGCTGTATAAATCCAAGTTGTTGTAGTTGTTGTTGTAGCACCTTATCACATCTTTGAGACATCTCAAAGCGCTTCCCAGGATACACTGTAAAGTGGAGTGACTGCATTTTGTGGGCGAAACGCCGAAGCTAAATGTCCACCGCAGTCGCCCACAAACATTCGTGGATTCAGTGATCGAAATGTGTTTTTGAAGAAACTCGCAGGGCTAAAAACAAGTTGTTGGAAATCCTGCGTAGCGTATTTCAGGCCTATTTGAAAGTGAGTGCTGCAAAAATACCCAGCCCCAAATTTTCCAAACCAGAATGCTAATGCCTTTGTGAGCGAGTTACGTGTGCACCTGACTGTGAGATCACTGAGGGGAATTTGAACAGGGTTTTTTTTTTAGTGATATGACCTCAGCCGTACCCAAACAACGCCTTTGATTGGTCTGAAACAACTACAGATATAGAGCTACCATTTCCTGGTTTGTATACAGTACGGAATTTTAAACCGACTGAACTCCCTGCAATCTTGTGGGTGAAAATGACTGCTCTTCGCTTGATCCTGGCAGCCCTGATTGTCCGTAACACCGGTAAGTAATTTACTGAGGGTTTGAAACCCTCCAGGGATAAACAGGTGGACATCAATTATAGTTACATTGGGATTCCCAACGTCCTATCCATTTCTTTTGGTGCCCGAGACTGAGCAGGGAAAGGCCCTGTGTTTACAGGGAATTGGCTGTCAGTGTTTTAAGGGAAAAGGCGTCCGCACTAGAGATTAAGATTGATTTGAGAATATCAGATAAATGTGCTGCGGGCTACTGACTGCCCGGTGTCTCGGCTTTCCTATGGCTTCCATCTGTTTTAATCTGACTTAGAACTGACTCACTCAGATGAGTGATGAGTGAGTGACTCACACAGATGAGTGAGTCTGTTTTAATCGGACTTTCAGCAATAAAATTGCTGAACAGCTTTGTTTTTTTTAAACACCGTGCATTTTATACAAAGACTTCTTGTGTTGTGCTTGAAACCGTTGTAGTTTGTGGGTTAACATTTTTTTCGCTGAGTGTAAAGGGTTTAGTTCCTGCAGTGGGTAATGGTTAGAGTGTTCATCTCACAAGCGATAGGATCTGGGTTTGATAGTAATCAGCGATAGTAGGGCGAAACCGTAGCTCAGCCTGACTACTCAACATGCACAGTTTATCCAGCAGTTAGTAGGAAGTTGGTTGTTTAGTCAATTGTCGAAAGACTTTCCGTTGAGAATAATATCCCCCTTCCAAATATAATAATTTGGTCACCCAATCCTCGACTGTTTGTGGGACGCTGGTGTGTGCAATTGGCTGCTGTGTTTCATCCATAAAATATACAGTCAATTCACTTTTCAGTATATGCTGTGAAGAGCTTTGAGACGTCACAAAGACGTGATAAGGCGCTAAGTCAAGTGCAAAGATTATTATAATAATTCTCTGTCAGGGATCAAGTGAAACAGGAAACGTACAAATATGATGGAAATTCACAGCAGGCTCACGATTACGTGACGAGAAAGTCTTGGGTGGGGCCTGTTGTTGGTTCCGCAAACAAATTCCTGCGAAAAGGAACATATTTGGCATTTTGCAGGCCGACCAAAGAGAGAGGAAATGAGGGACAGATCTTGGCAATCTCCCAACACTGTTGGAAAAGAACATCTAAGCGGGCAGGTTAATCACTCATTAACTTCCCAGCTGATTTCTGTGCTCAAATTGGCTGCCACCTTTGTCTAGAGATGTATGATCACTGCACTGGACTGAAATGCCCAGTGAAGCCCTCCGAGATGTTTTGATGTTATAAACGCTGCGCAAGCTAAGAATTATCATTATTATTATTATATGGAAGGAGGGCAGCAGACTGGACACAGTTTCCATTACTTGCTAGCGTTTTCTCTAGTTATGATCGTTTTATCCAAAGTAAATGATTTGCATTTATCTGCCGATATTTGCACAGGATAAACAGCTCTTTGTAGTTTCCACAGCTCCTTTCACAAAGTGCTTTGGGGAAGGAGTGGGAGCCTGAACGTCGTGAGATTTTTGTTTCCCAGCCGGGTGTCTGACCCGCACGGAAACCCATCACCGTTGTTTAAAGAGTCTCCAAATCAAACCTGGGTTCAATTCCAGGCAGAGGGCGAAACCTTGGGCAAGTTTCCTTACCCCACACAGAGCCTAATAATAATCCCTCCAAAACCAAAAACAATAATAAATTGGTCGTTTTCAATCCACGACTGTTTGAGGGACATTGCTGTGCGCAATTGGCTGCCGCGTTCGCCCACAAATATACAGTCAGTTCACTTTACAGTGTGTTCTGTGAGGCGCTTTGAGACATCGAGAAGACGTAAAAAGCGCTACATCAAATGCAAGGATTGTTATATTATTATTAAATTCAAGAAATAGATTGTTGGAATGGAATGCACTCTCTCTCCCTGAAGGGAGACATCGTGCTTTGCCCATGCACCCCAGAGTGTGCGTTGGGTTAACTGCTGGAGTCTAAGCAGCTAAATCTACATAGCCTTGCCATTCAGAGCGCTGTCTGGCAAGCTTTCCCTCTGCTTGTCCAGCTATAACCACCCTTCCCGTTCGGGTTTTGGCTTGCAGAGTTAACAGGGGTTGAGTGGGAGGATTCCCTGCCTCCAGTGACTGGTCTGACCCCATAGTGTGCAGTCCCCAAGCCTTGGATCTTGCCAGTCTGTGCCTAATGCTCTCTGAAATTAGGTCAGTAGGATAAACAGTGTGAAAGAGGAGGGAGTGGTAGATAAAGAACTCAAAGCTATTCACAACAACGGACGAGGAAGAGGGCTGGTGAGTTGGGGAAGTTTGAGGGAATGTTCAAAGACATGTCCGACAGACTTTTAATAGAGGTGGAATTTTTAGGGGACTGGGAATTCCATAGAGCAAGTTTCGTAATTGGGGAAGGTTCTTGTAGCGAGTGAGAATGAGGGAAGAGCAGAGACGGAGAAGTGCAGGGCATGGGGAGTAGGGGGCTGCTGTGTAATAATACTTGCATTTGATAAAGCACCTTCTCACGTCTTCGAGAGGTGTCAAAGCGATTCACAGAATACATCGTAAAGTGAATCGACTGTACATTTTGAGGGCGAAAGGCAGGCAGCCAATTGTGTCCCAAAAACAGTTGTGGATTGCGTGACCAAATTATTATTCTTTATTCTCTGTTTTTATACTAACGTCGCTGGGTCATTATAGCAGTCGGCCACACAAAATGACTACATAGAGCTGGCTGAACAAAATGACTACATAGAGCAGCCGGGAATAGTTCCCCACATTACTCATTGCATTTTTTGATCACGAGGCCATGAATGGAGGTTTTCGTTTCCTCTTGGTTGATAGCATCCCCGTGACCCATCTCCCCCCCACCTCACCTCCATAGTCTGCTGGTCAACCCAGTCTGATATCATTGTTTTTTTTTCAGGAAGTTCAGCTGTAAGATCACAGAAGTTAAAAGCTCACAAATGACCACAAGAGAGGATTGGGGAAGGGCGAGGGAGAAAGTTTCAATAAATAATATTACTAGCATTTGGTACAGTGCCTGTAACATCTAAATCTAGATGTGGAGTCCTGTAGCTCAGTGGTTAGAGCACTCGCTTTGCAAGTGAGAGACCTGAGTTCAATTCCAGGCAGAGGGCGAAACCTCGGGCAAGTTTCCTTACTCCACACAGAGCCTAATAATAATCCCTCCAAAACCAAAAACAATAATAAATTGGTCATTTTCAATCTGCGACTGTTTGTGGGACATTGATGTGCGCAATTGGCTGCCGCGTTCGCCCACAAATATACAGTCAATTCACTTTACAGTGTGTTCTGTGAAGCGCTTTGGGACGTCCTCCCGACGTGAAAAGCGCTATATCAAATGCAAGGATTATTATTATTATTTATGGATCTGAAATACACTGAACACCCAGCTCTCTGGACTTTGGTATCAGGAATTCAGATTTAACTCAGAACAGAAAACAAACTCTCCTAAAAAACTATCCCAGTCTCCTCACACACACAGACACTGGCTCAGTTTCCTCTCACCTACACAGACACTTGCTCAGTTTCCTCTCTCACACACAGACATTTGCTCAGTTTCCTCTCTCACACACAGACTGGCTCAGTTTCCTCTCACACACAGACACTGTCTCAGTCTCCTCTCACACACAGACACTGTCTCAGTCTCCTCTCACACACAGACACTGGCTCAATCTCCTCTCACACACAGACACTGTCTCAGTCTCCTCTCACACACAGACACTGGCCCAGTCTACTCTCACCCACCCCATCCTCACCGTGCTCGCTGGCCTACAGTTTGATGTAGCGCCTTATCATGTCTTCAAGACGTCTCAAAGCATTTCACAGAATATACTGTGAAGTGAATTGCGTGTATATTTTGTGGGCGAAATGCGATAAGCAACTGCCCACAGCAGCTTCCCATGAACAGTCATTATTATTATTTATTGAAGGGGTTGTTATCCCTAGAAAAGTGACCCGGCAATCATCAAACAACCCGGTTCCTACTTACTGCTAGATAGCCAGAGGCGTGTGGGGTAAGAAAACTAGCCCAAGGTTTGGCTCTGCCCAGGAGTCAAACCCAGGTCCTCTCGCTTGGGTGGCGAGTGCTCTAACCACTGAGCTACAGGACTCCGCAAACTATCTTCTACTCATAGGATTCCAGCTGGTCAGACTGGATTTCCCCCCCCACCCCCTATCCCCAACTCCATTGGTCCAGCCAGGTTTTAGTGCATCTCAAGTGAATCACAGTAATTGCTGTTCACTGCAGTGACTGTATTTTGTGGGCGAATAGCTCAGTGGAGCATTCTTGACTATGAGTCAGAAGGTTGTATGTTCAAGCCCCACGTCGGGACTTGGAATCACACTCTAAGATGATATTCCAATGCAATTCATTGTCAGAGGTGCCATCCTTCAAAGGAGATGTTAAACAGAGGTTCTATCTGCCTGATCAGGTGGACACTAAATATCCCGTTAAAGAAGGAGGAGGTTTCTCTATATCAGTATCCTGGCCAACAGTCTGGGGGAAATTATTGTGCTATCGCATATGACTGAAAAACAGTCACTACACTGTACAGTATATCCTGTAAAGCACTTTTGCACGCCTTACTGACATGAAAGGCGCTGTATCAAATGTAAGGATTATTACAATAATATGAAGAGAAGGGCTGTTGTTATTACCATGGGGCTTAAATTCACAGCTCTCATACCCAGAGGCACACGTGTGACCACTTCAATTGATCTGACTCATAAGAGAGCTTGCTTCCATAGTTAGTGGAACAGTCAGGAAGTAGGTGTTGACAAATGAGGAACTGGTTATCAGTTTGCGGTTGAGGTCAGGTCTTGGATGCTGTGATAAGAGGATGGTCAGGAGGGAATGTGATCAAATGGCCAAAGGGTCTTCGTCATCCAAACCAAACCGGTCTTGGGACTAGGGTTCCATTTCCGGGCAGGGTGAAAAGTTAGGCAAGTTTCCTTATGCCTCTGTTTGCCTAGCAGTAAGCAGGAACCACTGCTTGACAGATTGACAGATCACTTTACTGCCGATAATAATCCCTTAAAAAAAATAATCACTCAATCCACCACTATTTGTGGGACACTGCGGTGCGTAATTGGCTATCGCCAAAATACACAGGAAATTCACTTTGCAGTATTTCTGTGAAGCGCTTTGAGACGTCTCAACGATGTGATAAGGCGTAAGGATTATCAAATGCAAGAATTATTATTATTATAATTATAATCTTACCTGTTTGGTGTGTTTGTCGGCGAACAGTCAGCGTGCAGGTGGATGTCAAGGTACGGGTCCCGAGCAGAGTGAGCGGCAGGCTGGGCGCCCCCGTTATCCTGCCCTGTAAGTTCAACTCCTCCTTCGCTCACTACACCACAGTGGAGATCACCGTGCTTTGGAGGACGAGGAAATTCTTCGAGGGGCCGGTTATATTCCACTCCGTGAACAGCGCCAATAACGAGACCTTGATAAAGGTGAACGCAAGAGAGCGCTACACGCTGGTCGGGAACCCCAGAGAGCAGGACGCCTCCCTCCAGCTGGACTGGGCAGAGCTGGAGGACAATGATCAGTATTTCTGCCGTGTGGAAGTCTCCCGGAAACTGATCTACACGTCCAAGCATGAGAGCAACCCGGGAATCACCCTGGAGGTGACAGGTACATGTCCATGTAACCAGACTACCCCATATCTGTGTCATGACCCGTTCTACCTTTCCCCAACTCGCCAACATCAACCCGACTCTGCCACTTCCTCTCCCCTCAGGCTTGTGAGACCCTCATCCACACATTTATTACATCTGGGCTCAAGTGCTCCAACTCCCTGCTCGTCGGCCTCCCCAACTCTTCCTGCCACAAGCTGCAGATCATCCAGAACTCTGCAGCTCATGTCCTCTCTGGCACCTGGCTCAAAAGCTCTATCACTTCACTCCCACCCTCACCCAGTTCCACTGCCTCCCCATCCAACAGCAATGCAGTTCAAAATCTTCGTCCTCACCTTGAAAACCCTCCACGCCCTTGCTCCTCCCTATCTCTGATCTGTTACTCCATACCAACCTGTCAGCTGACGCCACTCAGCAGGCTCTGGCCTGTTCCACGTCCCCCACCTGGCCCACCCTATCATCGCCAGATGGGTCTCTTCACTCCCTGGCACCTCTCTATCTCTCTAATCTACACCTGCACCACTCTTCTGCTTATCCCCCTCTGCCCCATTGTTGGGCCGAATTATCAGCTACTACTTCTGGAACTCCCTCCCTCTACCCCCTCCCTCTACCCCTCTGTCTCGCCCTCTTTCTATCTGCCATTAAATCTCCCCTCTGCAATCGTTTTCACCATATTTTTTCTAGTAAGCTTCCCGCTGCTTCAGTCACTGCTTCCCGCTGCTTCATACCCATAACCTCTGGAAATCTCTGCCTCAATCTCTCCACCTCAGTCTCTTTTTATCTATCTTTAAATCCCTCCTTAAGACTTCCCTATTCAACCAAATAGTCCCCTCACTCGGTGTCTAACCCCATCAATGGTGCAGCATTCTGAGACGCTATCCTACATACAGCGCTCTATATATTTGCAAGTTGTTGTTGGTAGTGTTGCCCGGCAAGGACCACATTAGGGGAGGAACCAGACTGCTGAGACGGATGAGCCACCCGGTCTAAACCCACTACTCTCCTGAAGCCTGCGGTCTAATCTCAGCCTGTGCAACCATTTTATCTTAAAATTGTTAAAACGTTAAAAAGTTACTCGTTAATGACACCGATTTGTGTAAAATTATTGAATCCAGTTTCAGTTTGGAAGGCGTTTTATTGCTGATTTTACACAAATAAGACCAATTTAAGAATTTGATTCCCGTTTGGGGCGAAACGTTAAGCGAGTTTCCTCCTCCACACGTCTCTATTACTTAGTAGTAAGTAGAAACCTAGTTGACAGCCGATTGATGGATCGCTTTACCAGTGATAATAATTGCTTCAAAAAAGATGAATTAATAATTTGGTCACTCAGCAACGACTGTTTGTGGGACACTCTGCTGAGTACAATTGGTTGCCACGTTTCACCCACAAAACCCACAGTCAATCGACTTTATAGTATATTCTGTGAGGTTTTGAGACGTCTCAATGACGTGATAAGTCGCCGAATCAAATGCAAAGATTATTATTGTTCTACATGTAAGTTGACATTACTTGACTGGTTAAAGTCTAGTAGATACCTCCATGCCCTCCCCTCTTTCCAATCTCCACCTGATAAGGTCTGGGTTTAGATGGAGGTTCCTCCACAGGAGAGAGAACATTCATTCCATTACGGCCAAATGCAAAACATACATGTGTGGACCTCTTGGTAGTTTGGTTGAATTTTGGTTTGCCAACCCCTCCTCTACCCATCCCTTTGCTCCTACAGCCTTCTGCTTATCTCTCATCCCCTCGCTCCACCATCAGCGTCCATGCTTTCAGCCACTATGCCCACAAATTCTGGAACTCTTTGCCACGGTCCCTCCTTCCCCATCTTCAGATCACGCCTCTTCGACCATGCTTATAGTTACCTCTCCCCTCCTCCCGACTCGATGTCAAGCTCCGCCACTGTTAAGCGCCCCCAGATGCTACCCCGGTTGAAGAACATTGTGTAAACACACGCTGCTGTTTGTGGTTGGTGGGAGACTCCATGTGTTTCCGTGGTTTTGCCAAACATGTTTCATTGATTCCACTTCCTGTCCCGGTGCCAGGTCAGCCCGAGATCCTGAACCTGACGCAGCACAGAGTGAACCAGACTCACCAGATCCTGACATGCACCGCGGAGGGCAATCCTAGACCCACTATTACTTGGACCAACCCCAGAGGCAACCAGACCTCCGTCACTCGCATACTGGACCACTACCGGATCGAGAGCTGGGCGCACAATCCGCAGGTCACCGGTAACTATACCTGCACAGTCACTAACCAGCTGGGTACCACATCCCGCTCCGTCTATTACCAAGGCAACGAGGTGATGCTGAGCTTTGAATTACTCTTGGTCATCATCTGTGTCTCTACAGTCCTTCTGATCATTCTCCTCGCGGTTGGAGTCTTCATCTGGAGGGCGAAGAAAGGTGGGTTATTGCCATCGACTTTCTCTTGCTTGGTCCCAAATCCATTCGCAAGTTAGTTTAAGAGTTCAGCCGTATTGTGTCAGCCTGGCTCAGTGACTCGTGCTGTCATCTCGGGGGCACAAGATGGTTGGTTCAGTCCCCTGCCTTCCACCGCCCCCCCCCCACCCACCACCACCACTTGTGTTGTCAGGGACTCTGAGCTCACCGACCAGGATGATAACCCTGGGCAATGCCAGAGGGAGCACCGGATTGTCGGAGGTGTTGTCTTTCAGATGAGACATTAAACCGAGCTCCTGTCAGCGCCCTGTTTAGACTTTAAAGATTCCGTGGTGCTACTAGAAAAGAAACTGAGTTTCTCCCAGTGCCCGGTCTGGCCGACTATGTGTAGTCCTGTAGCGTAGTGGTTAGCGCACTCCCTCGCAGGCGAGATGATCCAGGTACGGTTCCTGGGCAGGGCGAAACTTTTGGAAAGTTTTCTTACTCCACCCATCTCTGTTTATTTAGCAGTAAGTATGTTAGTCAATTGGCAGATTGTTTTCCGCGGTAGTAAACCCTTTGTTAAAATAAATTGTACACTCCATTCACAACTGTTTGTGGACACTGCTGTGCGCAATTGGCTACTGCGTTTTGCCCACAAAATACACAGTTAATCCACTTTACATTATATTCAGTGAAGCGTTTTGAGATTTCTCAATGACGTGATAAGGCACTGCATCAGATGCAAGGATTATTATTATTATTAATCTCCCCAGAATAGTTGTTTGTTCAATTCAGGGATCTTGTTGTGCGCCAAATGTTATAGAGATTCGCTGGACCCACCTTATAACGGAACTCCACTGCTGTTTCTTGTGAAGAGCTTTAAGATATCTTAATGTGTTATATTCTGAAATTACACTTGGTCTCAGCTGTGTTTTCCACAGTTTCTTATAAAGAAACCAGCTTCCATCTACATAAGAGCACAAGAATTCCTAGACAAAAGAAGACCAAGGTCCATCTAATTTGCCTTCCAACATCCTGGCAGTCGCATGTACATGTCATGTCCCAAACTATAGACTACATATAGAATTTATTCACAATTATGCACAATCATAAATTTTAAAACAAAACAAAACCCCTCACAGACTGAGACTTGGTGGAATTTCAGGTCTATAGTAAATAAATTGACTGAGTTGATTACAGTGTCTCTTTATTCCTCCGACAGATAAAGGAAGTTACACCGTGGGCCACCCGGTAGGTTCCCATTTCTCTTCTCGTCTCTTTTACAAATGTGTTTGAATGGGGATAAAGGTGCAATCACGAGTTTTGCTCTGTCTGCCCCAGAAACACTGTGTGATTGAGGGCAATTAGATTTGCAATGTGGGGACAAGGGACAGGTCTGACTCCAGGCAGCTGTGTAGGTGGGGAGAGAGCCTTGATAGCTGGAGGGTGGTGGGGGCAGGGGCCTGGGGGCGCCAGACAACTAGGGAGGGGGAGAGGGCAGATGGCGGGGGGCAGGAGTGATCCAGATGCCTGGGGAGGGGCTGTTGGTGCCTGGGGAGGCCGGGTGGGAATAAAAAGTTATTTGGGAATTGCAACATCTGGGATCCCATCAAGCAGACTCAGAGGCGAGTCTGTCCTCCCGTTCTCCCCTGTGAGCCAGTCTAGACCTGGCCCCATCTTCTACCCTCAACCCTACACTGGGCCCTTGCTCCTAGTCTCAGCTTTTACGTTGGCACTCCTGACCCCTCACTNAATGGCTCCCTTTCTGTCCCACTACTCCCACTCACCTATCCTCAGTGCTTTGAGGATTCACGCACAAGGGATTCCCTCTGCCTCACCCACTCTTTGCCCGTCTTCACCTGAAGGCCGACAAGTGGATCAGCCAATCAGAGGTGAAGATGCCCGACGAGAAAGTGGGCGGGCACTGATAACGAGTTGGGAGGGGGGCAAGAGGGGGTCGGCGGGTGCCCCTGGTTGAGTCTACTTGGCGGACTGTCTGTGGTCCTCCTCGAGGCTTTCCCCTCCCTTAAAGATATGCCTGTGGATAGATTGGGGGGGACGCGGGTGCTGAGTGAGCCCCCTCTTATCGCTCTGGCCATCCTATCCAATATATACGTATCCATCCAATATAATGTTATATATAAGATATATAAATATATCCAACCTTCAGATGAAACGTTAAATTGAGATCCCGTCTGCCTGTTCAGGTGGATGTTAAATATACCAAGCTACTATTCGAAAAGAGAACGGTGGTCTGGCTGACAGTCTATCTGAGGTGTTTAAAATGATAAAGGGATTCGATAGGGCAGCTACAGAGAAACTATTTCCTCTGGTGGGGAATCCAGAACAAGGAGCATCATCTTAAATTTAGGAGACAAAATAGGAGTCGATTTTTCACTCTTGCTTTCTCTCCTCCGAAAGGCTGTGGATGCTGGATGCTGGATCCATTCACATTTTCAAGAATGAGATGGATATATATTTGTTAGGTCATGGTATCAAGGGATCATGGAACCAGAACTGAACATAGTCTCTCGCTGAGGCCTAACCAGTGTTTTATATAAAAGTTGATCATAATTTCCTGACTTTTGTATTCTATGCCCCTATTTATAACAACAACAGGATTGCATTTATAGAGCGCCTGTCGGGAGTACGTCCCAAGGCGCTGTACCCGAGCAGGGGGAAAATGGTCAGGGGAGGGAAGGGAGGGAGCGAGGAGGGGGTAGAGAGTCGAGAGGGGAGCTGAAGGCACGGTTGAAGAGAAGCCTAGTATCCCGTATGCTTTTTTAATAGCTTTATCTACCTGTCCTGCCACCTTCAAAATTGCCCCTCCCTCACCACGATCCTGAGACCTCTTGTCCTGCCACCCTAGTGTATTCGAAAGTCATTTTCCAGGGCAGGGCAAAATCTTAGGCAAGTTTCTTTACTCCACATACCTTTGTTTATCCAGCAGTAAGTAGGAACCTGGTTGTTAGTGGATTGGAGGATCACTTTCCTCGGGTAATAATTCCTTCAAAAAAAATGTGATTACTCAATTCCCGACTGTTTGTGGGACACTGATGTGCGCAATTGGCTGCCGTGTTTCCTGCACAAAATACGCAGTCACTGCACTTTACAGTATATGTCTGTGAAGCGCTTGGAGACATCTCAATGAAATGATAAGGCGCAATACAAATGCAGGGATTATTATCATTACTTTCTCACCAGCATCTAAATTCTAGCATTTTAGGTACTCAAAACCACCTCCGTTTCCCTTTCAGAGGATGACATCAATTCGACATAATGATGAACTGATCGATGAACACAGCGAGCGTCTGCCTTCCACAGTGACTGGCAAACTCCTGTGCTGGGAGGCTAATCTGGGACGCGAGCATGACCGGCTGCAAGGGTGTGCCTCGGATTGCGATGATGATGTGCATCTGACTGCAGCCACATGAACCCTATCATCTTACTTGCACAAATACAATTTGGAGAAGGAAAAAGCTACAGTTCTAACAAGGGCAGAGTCTTGCCTCTGGGTAATTGTCTCCGTGTTTCCCCTCCACCAACTTCCCACCCCACCACCACCAGCTGGAAAAACCTCGACATCAAGCGTCGAGCTCTGGGCACTTTAAGCTCTCTGGGATGCGTGAGGTACCCTATATAAATGCAAGTTGTTTTTGTTGTCCTACTGTCCAAAATGCTGCTACATAATTTATTGAAGACTTCTTTTTGTTGTTTTGTGCAATTTTTTCCTGTGGTTGTTATATTTTTTGAGACGACACCCGATGTGAAAAGCGCTGTACAAATGTATTTTTTTTGTTGTTGTTTCCATTCAGAGCCTCTCTGTGATGGAGGGTATGAGATACACCCTGAGGTCTGAGCTGATTAGGGAGAGTCAACATGGCTTGTGACGGGTAGATCATATCTAACTAATCTAGTTGACTTCTTTGAGGAGATCACGAGCATTGTGGAGAAGGGAGTGCCTTTGGATGTTATTTATGTGGACTTTCAGAAAGCATTTGATAAGGTGCTACACCAGAGATTAATAGTAAAAATGAAAGGGCACAGAATTGGAGATAACCACGTTAGAGGGGTTGGTAATTGGTTGGGAGGCAGAGAGTAATGGTACGTTCTCTAATTAGAAGGAAGTAACAAGTTGGGTTCCCCAGGGATTGTTATTGGGGCCTCAGCTCTTCACATTTATATATCAATGACGTGGATGAAGGAACAGAGGGCTATATATCCAAATTTGCAGATGACACTTCAATTGGGAGATGGGATAAATTATGTAAATGGAGGCAGGAAGTTACAAACGGACATGGACAGGTTAAGTGAGTGGACAGAACTATGACAGATAGAGTTCAATGTGGGGGAAGTGTGAGTTTATCCACTTTAGATCCAAGAATTCCAGATCAGAATACTTTCAAAACTGTGGAGGAGCAAAAGGGAATTAGGTGTCCATGTACACAAATCACAAAAGGCTGGTACACTGATGCAGAGAGCCTTTATCTCAAAGGGATACAAAAGTGAGCAAGCGATATTTAAGTTGTATAATAATAATAATAATAATCCTTGCATTTTATATAGCGCTTTTGACGTCGGGAGGACGTCCCAAAGCGCTTCACAGAACACACTGTAAAGTGAATTGACTGTATATTTGTGGGTGAACGCGGCAGCCAATTGCGCACAGCAATGTCCCACAAACAGTCGTAGATTGAAAATGACCAATTTATTATTGTTTTTGGTTTTGGAGGGATTATTATTAGGCTCTGTGTGGAGTAAGGAAACTTGCCCAAGGTTTCGCCCTCTGCCTGGAATTGAACTCAGGTCTCTCGCTTCCAAAGCGAGTGCTCTAACCACTGAGCTACAGGACTCCACTGACAGACAGTCACAGACTGACAGCCTGGGTGGGGGGGTGGTCCTGTGATGTGATGAGGGTCCTGTCTCCGGCCTGTGGGGGTGGGGGGGACATCGCTGGCCTTTCTGTTCACGGCTTCACACCGTCCGTCAATCCCTCCACTACCCACAGCGACCCCCACACACAGCCTGGCCCTGATCCCCAGCCTCCCCTGCCTCACACCCTGGACTCCCCACCCACCCACTGCCCAACTCCCTCACCCCACACCACACTGACAACGGGAGAGGAGGGAGGGAGGGGGAGTAGGGACGGAATACAGGGCTGGTTTGGGCCTGTCTGTCTCTCGCTTCACCCCCCCGCGCTCTCTCTCCCCCTCCCCACCCCTCTCTCCCCCCCCCCCCCACACTATCTCTCTCCCCCTCCCTCTCTCTTGCCCCGTCTCTCTCCCCCACTCTCTCTCCCCTCTCCCCCCTCTGTCTCTCTCTCTCTCTCTCTCCCCCACTTACCCCCACACTCTCTCCCTCTCCCCCCCCCCTCCCCCCCACTATGTCTCTCTCTCTCCCCCACTTCCCCCCTACTCTCTCCCTCCCCCTCTCTCTGCCCCCCCCCCCCCCCCCCCCCGCCCTCCCAACCCCTCACAGTCTCACCATGTAGGACTGGCTGTGTGTGAGGTACCTGACCCAGCGATGTGGGGCTTGGAGGCCGGAGACACGGAGAAATCGGATGGCGAGGCCCGAGCAGGTGGTCATCGGCAGCTCAAAGCTCAGACAGGCGGGTCCGACCTCCATCATCTGTGCTGCCCCCGGACCCCCCACCTCCAGCTTGAAGAGTGCGGAGAGTTGGGATCCTCCGGGGAATTTGGGGATCTGCCACAGTACAGCCCGAGAGGCGAGTTCCAGCCTCGCCGACTGGTCCGGGCTGCTCAGCCCCTGGGAGAGACTGGTTGTTGTTCGAGGGACCGACCTCACGTTGAGAGCCTGGGTCTTGGTGGGGAGATCGCACCTCAACTTCATGTACACCACCAGCTTGCTGTTGGCATCCTTCTCCAGTGTGGGGAAAAGCCGGAACGGGAGAGAACTCGGGAGGTCATCAGACAACTGGTACTGCATTATAGTGAGCTCTTCCCCCATTGGAACAACTTTTTTAGTATCGAGTATAGAGCCTTGGTCAGATCCCATCTGGAGACTGTGTTTAGTTTTAGGCACCTCATCTCAGGAGGATATATTAGCCTTGCAGGGGATACAGCGCAGATTCACCAAAATGATCATAGAATCAGAGAATTTTACAGCACAGAAGGAAGACATTCGACTTTCTCTCTCTCTCACACACACTCTCTCTCTCTCTTTGTCTCTCTCCCTCTATCGGGCTGTGTAATGATCGTTGTCTGCGTTGATTTTCACTGTAATGTTTCCAATGTATCCACCAATAAAACCTGTGTCCGAGACAAATGCTCTGTGTATGTGTCCATCTGTCTGTGTGTGTGTGTGTGTGGGTCTCTATAGAACTTTGAATTATAGAATATTACAGCACAAAAGGAGGCCATTCAGCCCATCGTGCTCCTTGGAAGAGTTAACCAATCAGTTCCACTCCCCGCTCTTTCCCCATACTCCTGCAACTCTTTCCTTTTCAAGTACCTATCTATTCCCCTTTTAAAAGTTGATATTGCATTTGTTTCCACCACCCTTTTAGGCAATGCATTCCAGACCATACCAACTCTCTGTGTAAAAAAAAATGTCCTCACTTCCCCTCTAGTTCTTTTGAAAATTATCTTAAATCATGTGCCCTGGTTACCGACCCGCCTGCCAGTAGAAAAAGTTTCTCCCTATCTACTCAAATCAATACCCCTCATAATTTTGGAAACCTCTATTAAATCTCCCCTTAACCTTCTGTAAGGAGAACGATATTCCCTTTATACCCAAGTCCAAGTCATTCACATATATCAAAAAGAGCAGTGAGCCTAATACCACCCCTGGGGGACACCACTGTATACTTCCCTCCATTCACCACTACCCTCTGCCTTCATGGCTGCACTCTTCACCTCACAGAGCCAATCCAAAACCTCTGTATCCTTCTCGACCCTCAGTTATCCTTCAAACCCAACATTCGTGCCATGACCCATTCCGCCTTTCCACACCTCCGCAACATTGCCCGCCTCTGCCACTGCCTCTCACTGCAGGACCCCGAGACCCTGATCTCACGCTTTCATTACGTCCCGGCTTGACTACGACAACTGCCTGCTCACTGGATTTCCAAACTCTTCCCTCCACAAGCTGCAGATTACTCAGAGCTCTGCAGCTCATGTCCTCTCCTGCACCAGGCTCCGGGAACCTATCACACCCATTCTTGCCCGGCTCCACTGGCTCCCCATTCCTCGAGTACAAAATCCTCGTTCTTACATTCAGGGTCCTCCATGGTCTTGCTCCCCCCTACCTCTCCAACCTCATAACCCATATCAGGCTGTCCACTCCCTCCACTCAGCGGACACCGGCCTGATTCAGATCCCCCGCACTTCCCATTAATGGCGGTCAGGCATTCAGTATCTTTACCTCAACACTCTGGAACAGAGAGAGTGTGTGAGAGAAAGAGAGTATGAGAGAGACAGAGAGTGTGTGAGAGACAGAGAGAGAGTGTGTGAGAGACAGAGCGAGAGTGTGTGAGAGATATAGAGATAGCTGTGCAACCGAATGTCTGACTTTGTGTCTGTGTGTGAGACAACAACAATAAATTACATTTGTATAGCGTCTTTCACATCAGGAGGATGTCCCAAGGCACTGGAAAGTCAGCGATCCACACGCGAGCTGGTAGTTGGGATCAGGAGGGGTGGAGGGCGGGGGAAGGGTAGGCGTAGTAGGGTGACCAAAGGCACGGTCGAGGAGAGGGACTTGAGACAGGTCTTGAAGGAGGCAAGGGAGGGGGCAAGGCAGAGGGGTATTAGGTTGTTGGAAGCCAAGTTCTTGGGCATACAGCGGACTTGCCTGGCTCAGGAATGTGCTCTGTTATCCAGCCTAGAGGTAGCAACAAGGCCTTGGAAATGGCCAGCAGACTCCCCCATGCCCCACCCCTGGGAAGGGTTTTCCTCCTCCTAATCACAGTCAAGACCACCTACCCTTCTTCCTGAAGGGTGATGAGGATAGAATCACGCAATGACGCTCATGTCATAAACTGCTAACACTTAAAGCTCAGATACCTCAGGGCCCATCATGTTGTGCTTCTGATCATTCACTTGCATCAATTGCCCATTCTCTCCTATCATGCTGGTGCTCAGTCCCCAACTGGAGCTCTCTATTCTAACCCCATTCCATGCTCTCTCTCTCGCCCATGGTGTCTGTGCTGGTGCTTGCTCCCCCTCTGGAGCTCTCTACTCTGACCCCAATTATCTTCTCTTCCATCAGGTTAATGCTTCCTCACAGGAGTTATCTAAACTTTCAAACCCTGACTAAAAAAACGTCTCTGGTTGTGCCTATTATGATCTAAGAGTGACAGTCAAAGTGCCTGACTATCAAGAGAGGAAAGTGAGCAGTTTTCCACGCTTGTATCTCCCAATCTGTGAAGAGCTTTAAGACGTTCTCCTATGTAAGAGATGCTCTATACATTACTATATAGCGTGTGACTGAGGGACCTCTGTTGACTCTGCAGGAAGTGACGTAGGAAGAGCACCATAGCAAGCTACATCACCATGTGGTCCATTCGGACATCGTCTCTGTGCTGACTTATTTCCGCCATCCCTTTTTCTGTACTATTCTCCAGCAGTCGTCTCCCTCTCTATCTATCATTTGAGTGTAAATTGTACTCTAATTTAATACCAAAAAATCTACCTCTTCAACGCCACCCCCCCCTCCCCCACCAACCCCCAGGAGGTTCAGTTGGAATCACAGACACAGTTTATCAAAGCAAATAAGCTTTATTGTGAAACAGCAGAAAATATACAGAGCAAAGCTTAACCCTTAGATCAAAACCTCAGCTTCAGAAGCCCCTAAATCACCTAAACTTAACTTGAGAGATCGGATTCTCTCATCTGATATTAGCAATGACACCTCTATGTAGATATTAGCAGTGAACACCTCTAATCTGGTCATATTATCAGTGATACCTTTATATGGCCCGAGATTAGCAGTGACACCTCTACACAGCATCTTGAAGAAAAAACTGTCTTTATTGAAGCGGAGTACCAGATCGTAGCGGTATTCAATGAGCAGTCACTCAGCCCCAAGGGTAAGACGCAAGGAGAGAGCAGCAAAACAGAGTTGCATGATCTTCACTTGGTCTGTATGGGGAAAAGAGAAAATTATTGACTGATTGAATTTAATCTGACGACAATCAGCAATTTGTAGGCAAACACAGTAGTCAATTTGGACATTGCAAAGTTCCACAAACAGCCACCCGAACAAGTGTAGACAACACCTTGGTTTACATCTCATCAGAAGACGAAACGTCCAATAATACAGTGGTTCCTCTCCTATTGCACTGGAGCATCAGCTCAGACTATGAGCTCAAAGTCCCAACATGGGACCTACTGTCCCAGAGGCGAGTGTGTTACCAACTGAACCAGGAGTGGAACTGGCTTCTGTTAATAGTCCTGAGACAACTTAGGGAAATTTCCTGTGTTGATAATTTTATACTTGTTAAGCAGCATCACAATTAACAGTAACTGTAAACCAAGATCCTGAGCTTGATGAACCAGGTGTATTACATGGAATGACTACTGGGTGCATTGTCTCCTCACCACATGGGAGTGACTGTGTATTTTGTGGGTGAATACGGAAGCCAATTCATGTGCAGCAATGTCCCAAAAATAGAAGTAAAGTGAGTGACCAATTTTATTTGTGGGATTATTAGCCAGGATAACAGGAGAGTAAAACTCCCTTCTCTTTTCTAATAAAATGATGGGATCTTTAAAGTCAACTGGACATGGAGATAGGACCTTGTTTAACAAGTCATCTGAAGGACACCATCTCCAACAATTAAGTACTCCCCATGTCCTGATTTAGGGCTTGAACCCACAACTCATGACTCAGAGGTGAGAGTGCTCTCTTGCTACCATGAGAGGCATGCTATGCTGACTGGCCAGGTTCAGGGCCCATTGGGTTACAGCTACAATATAACTAGCTACAATAATTGGCCTTTGCCAACACTGTCTCAAGCTTCTCGCTGCTTGTCCACCTACGTCCATCCACCCATTGGAGCTTTTTTATGCATAATTGAATCTCTGCCCCAGTGAATAATCTGTTCCTCCAAATTCTGCCAGTGAGCCAGACCAGTTCGTCCAGCATCAAGCAACATCCTGGAGGATGGCGGACATGTCTGGCTCAGGAACCAGGCTACCAAGGCAGCCGCACTGCATTGACCAATTTGATTTTCACTTGGAGTCAGCTCGGGTCTAAAGAAGCCTTTGACAAGGTGGCAAACATTTTGTTTCTTAATCATTATTTTCTGGAGGGATTTTCAGAGACGGGCACAATTGATACTCTGCCCATCACAGAACATGTTCTTTCACAATCAAGATTGAGGCCAACAACTCAGTGGACGGTGTGCTGTCCTCTTCATAACAGTAAAGACCTCTTTCACCTCAACCCAAACCCATCCCAGCTCTGGGCTCATTTCTGGTAATCAACAAACCTTTGGTTTTCTGACTAGAACGATCCCGATCACCAACAGAAAGAAACATTTAGCTACTGGCATCAGCCACAGCATCATGATAATGAAGCTGCAATCATTGTATCTGTCCCCATCACTCTGTCTGTCTCCATCATTCTGTCTGTCCCCATCACTCTGTCTGTCCCCATTGCTCTGTCTGTCTCCATCACTCTGTCTGTCCCCATCACACTGTGGTCCAGGTGCGAGGATGTCTCGGGCGTCACTGCCCTATGTGTTCTCAGCTACACAGCGGTAAGTTCCCCTCAGCCTCGGGCACCGGATCTCCCCCACGGTTAGATGCTTGTCTGGTACGTGTGTGACTGGCGTGTGGGCAGCGTGTTATTCTCGGGGTCAATCCATGTGATGTTGGCCGGTGGTTCCCCCTCAGCTGTGCACACGACAGACTCAGGATGACGGCCGGAGCTTCAGGTATAAAGAAACACAGAGTTATTCTAACCAAACAACTTTCCCCATAGTGTCTGTGCTGGTGCTCACTCCCCACTGGAGCTCTCTACTCTAACCCATCAACAACAACACAACAACAACAAGATTCCATTTATAGAGCGCCTTTCACGTCGGGAGGACGTCCCAAGGCGCTGTACAATTGGGTCAGGACCCGGGCAGGGGGGAAATGGTCAGGGTGAGGGGAGGGAA